TGATGGCAAAACTTCAAAAATAAGTAAAAAAAAGCTAAATCGGGTCAGCTCACCCATGCATTCCAATCCACAGAACAAAGAAGGACTATTTGAAAATGACATAAAGATTAAATCACATTGATAGCCTTACTACTCTCCAAAAAACTGCTTTTCTCGATTCAACTACACATACAGCAGTTCTGTTACAAACTTTGGTCCTGCATATTAAATCAGTATGAAGTTCATGATGACTTGCTCTAATATTTCAGCTAATAAATGATGAAAGCTCAAGAGTTCCATACAAGGTTCAGCAACCCTTGCCACGACACCAATCTCCAGGATACAGGAAACATTAAAACCATGCTCCTTAAAGTACAGAAAATTTCTCTACTTATGAGTCAACCACCTCAAAGCAGGGTCTTCCACAGAAAACTGGCAGACCTTGGAGAAAGTCAATCCAAAGTTTCTATAGGCTTAAGCTACAGCACAGTAGTTACATTTAATACAGAAGGGGAAAAGACCACACCGGTACTGAATTCAATTATCAATACTGCCAAAGGAGCCATGTTTGATACCTACAGTGGGTTTTATAAGATGTCTCTGCTTTGGCAGCATTCCCACTGCTAAGAAAGTGAGACTGGAAGCAATGCAGCCTGCTTGCAGCAGGCTCTTGCACACACACAGCTTAACTTAAGCTCCTACTCCAGTCACAAAGAAGTGATGTTCTGCAGTTCAGCATAAGCCAACATGAATTATTTAAATTCCTGCAGTGTTTACAAGGATTTGAAGATGAAATTAAAAGAGGTGTCTGGCAGGGTGTGCTGTGACTGGGATGGAGAGCTGCACAGGTGAGTAGACGAAACAACATCCCATCACCTTAAAACATGTCCTGCTCTGCACTGAAGGGCAGCACTGAAGGTAAGGATCAGCTTCATTAGCCTCTTCAATAAGTTTGTATCAAGCTGAATCCAAAAGATTTTTGGAGGCTGACGGGCCAGAAAGGAGAGAGACAGTATATAAGGGGAAAGGGAGAGAATTAAAGCAGCTCCTCTATTACTCGTCTACATGATTGTTGTAGGTCCCTTTTAACTGAAATATTCTATTTCTCAATATTCTTGCAATAAAGCTAAGATGACAATCCATGCCAGCACCCTGGCCAGGGCCCCTGCCAGCACATACTAACTGCTACAGTTTCCTCCAAGTACTCCTGAAGTTAGGTGGTGTGCTTACTTTACAGCAAAAGCACGTACACCCCACGCTAAGGCCCTTGATGGATGATTTTTACAGAAATTCTTTTTTAAAGGGTTAAGAATTGCAGAGCAGATGACTACACTGTTATTGCTGAAGAAATAGAAAACGAATTTCTAAAATGCTGAAGGCAGCAACACAAGTCATGATAATGAGCTGCCTGCGGTCATTCAACTCAGGGAATGGGAAGTCTTGCAAGTGGCCTTGGACTACAGGAGCACAGCTAAAACAAAACAAAACAACATAAAAAAAGAAACAATCCCAGAGTTTATATTCTCTGTGAGTATTCTCACTCAGCTTTCTCAGTATAGGCAAATAAATCCTGTGCAAGTCTAGGACAACAGATCACCCCAGCCAAAAGCTATGATACATGCTACCTTCTAAAACACAAATGCTGAGCCC